TGAAACAGATCAGCAGCAACATGAAACAAATCAGCAGCAACATGAAACAGATCAGCAGCAACAACATGAAACCGATCAGGAGCAACATGAAACAGATCAGCAGCAACATGTGATTTTTTTTCAGTGATTATTCTGGTTAGATATTCATGAGTCTAACAGCCTCAGGGTAGAAGCTGTTCCTCAGTCTAGTGTTTCTGCACTTAATGCTCCTTAACCTCCTTCCTGAGGGGAGCGGGACAAAAAGTGTGTGTGCTGGGTGAGTGGGGTCCTTCATGATGCAGATGGCCCTCTTCCTGCATCTGGAGGTGTAGATGTCTGTGATGGTGGGGAGGCTGATTCCAACATCTTCTGTGCAGCCTTCACCACTCTCTACTGCTACACTCTGTGCTACTATTTCAGCTACTATTTAGCTGTTTTAAGACAATTTTAGCTTTTTCAGCTAATTCCATTTTTTTAGCTAATTTCATTTCTTTCTGTTTCCTTCTAGTAGTTTAAGCCTCTTTCTGCCTTTTCCAGCTACTTTTCAGCCAATTTTTTTTGCTAAATTCATCTTATTTTAGCTATTTTCTTCATTTGTGTGCTAAATGTTGCTTATTTAAATCTAGTTAAGCAAAGTTGTGTTCTTTCTGCTTTCTCCTGCAAATATTGGCTTGTTCTTCCATTTCAGCTACATTTCAGAATGTTTTTTTTTTTTTAGCTAATTTCAGCTGTTTTCAGCAAGTTCTTCACTCTTCATTTTCGCAGGAAATGCAGTTTCTGTAGTTTCTGTTTTGTCGTCTGTTCACAAACCAATAAAGTGTCGTTTCTCAAAGCTCACGATACTTTAAGACAGATTCTCACCATAATTGTTGCAACAGCTTCAGTCCTGAATCAATAAAAATGATTAGCTCTGTTGGTGCTGAAGGTTTTGTAGATTTGAACCTGCAGTGTTTGGAGTCACTCTGCGGGTCGGGGGCTGAAAGTTTGTGAATTATTGTTCCAAGTTTTCTAACTCGATGTTTAACGTCGATACTTTCTTCCTCTGGATGATTCATTCTCGGTGCCTCCTCCCTCCAGCCCACCGTCTCCTGACTCTCCTCCGTCTTTTTTTTTTCTTTATCTCTGCTGCCGTTCCCGTAATCGCTCCCCTCCGTTTGGCTTTTATCTTCACTTCCTCAATATCCTTTTTACCGCCTCCTTCCTCCCTCCCCCACACCCTCCTTCCTGCCTTTCCTTCTTTCTTCCCTCCTCCCTCGGTCCTTCTGCTTCTTCGTCACTCAGCTCATTTTTCTTCTCTCTCCACTAAATCTCCCCCCCCCCCCAGGTCTGCAGCCAGTCTGTTGGAGCAGGGAGGACGTGGCCCAGTGGCTGCGGTGGGCCGAGAAGGAGTTCGCCCTGCGGCCCATCACCAGCGGCACCTTCCAGATGAACGGCAAGGCCCTGCTCCTTCTCACCAAGGAGGACTTCCGCTACAGATCCCCCCACTCCGGTACTCCTCCTCAAACACACACAAACTACCGGAGAAACACTTCTCAGAAGAAGCAGGTGATGGGAGGTGACGGGGTGTCGGGGGGGCTGCCACACAGATGGCTGAGGGAGGAAGTAGGAGACGGTTGATCAGGAAGTACACAGCAACCTCAACGGTCGCCTTGGCAACAGCAGTGAGCAGGCACACGACACCCCCCCTAATTTCCTCACAGTTTGATTTATATCTGGAACATAAAACTAGATTTATGACCACAGATAACACCCCCCCACCCCAATCAGCACATTTTAAATCAAACCAGAGATTTTCAGCTTCACTGAATGTTTCGGCTGTGTGCTTCGGCTCATTTTCCTGCTGGAAGGTGCTGCCACCACTGTGCTTCGCTGAATAGAGTGTTGTCAGCATGATGACCAGAACGAGCTAAAAGCTGAAGCTCAAAACTGTAGCTTAAAGTAGCAAGACAGAAGCTAAAAGCTAAAATGGACAAAACAGAAGCTAAAGAATGAAATGAACAAAACTGCAGTTAAAATGTAAAACCAACCGAACAGTAGCTAAAATAAATGTCAATACAACAAAACCCTAGCTAATAGCTAAACTTGAAATATTATGATTATGAGCTAAACTCATCAAAATTATTATCACAGCCTAAAACTAGCACATCAATAGATAAAAGCTAAATCTATCTTAACTGTAGCTAAAAGCTCTAATCAGCAAAACAGTAGCTAAAATATTAAAAAGCAGATCCACAGCTACAAGTTAAAATTAATGAAAGGGTTAAAAATCAAAACCAGCAAAATAATAGCTAAAAAGCATGAACAAAAAAATAGCAGAAACAAATACAAGCAAAACACTAGCTAATGTCTAACTTAAAGCTTAAATCATCAAAACCATAGCTAAAGGCTCCAACTTGAGGAACTAACCTAAGCTTAAACAAACTGAACATTAGTTAAAAGCTAAAATGAGATAAATTCTAATTAACAGCTTTAATCAGCAAAACAGTAGCCTATGCTAAAATGTGTAGCATAGTAGCCAAAAGCTAAAATCAGCAAAACAGTTGCTAAAAGGTAAAACTAGCATAATCATAACTAAAAGCTCAAATCAGCAAAATCATAGTTAAAGGCTACAACTTGCAGAACTAACATTTGCGAAAAGATAAAATGAGCTAAATTCTAATTAACAGCTTTAATTAGCAAAACAGTAGCCTATGCTAAAATGTGCGAAACAGTAGCTCTAAACTAAAAGAAGCATAACCGTAGCCAATTGTTAAAATCAGCAAAACTGTTGCTAAAACTAACATAATCATAACTAAATGTTCGAATCAGCAAAACCTTTACAAAAAGGTAAAATAAACAGAACTGTTGCTACAAGCTCAAATGAACAAAACAGTTAAAATCTAAAACCAGCAGAACAGTAGCTAAAAGCTAAAATAAGCAGATTAGGAGCAAAAAGCTAAACCAAGCACATCCCTAGCAGCAACATTAGCAAAGCCATAGCTAATCCCTCAAATCAGCAAAACATTAACAAAAAGCTCAGATTAGCTAAAGACAAACGGAGAGGCATGATGCTTCTGAGGGAAAACGTAAAGACAAAAAAACTTCAGCAGGTGTTTCTGAACGAGCTGAACGTTTTGATGCGAATACGCAGAAGCAGTTAAATTATAAAAACCGTACGGATGATTAACGGCTCCACATTCAGACTGATGTGAGGGTTTGGCGCTTCGAAGAACGCCGTAAATACACAAAACCATTTCCCGCTTTATTTGTTTTACACCTTTTTTTTACCGGCAGTAAACACGGCTCCTGGCGAGTTGACGTCGTTTTGGATTCTGTGAAGAAACAGATGTTTTGGAGAAAGATTGGAAACATCTGCTCCATTTATTCCCTCACAGGTTGTTTTAGCTCCTAGCTGAACCTCGTTTGTTGGCGTTACACCCTGCGCTCGGTGACATTAGTGGAAATGTCACTTTAGGGAACAGAGCCATTTTCTGATTTGTGACTCATCCGTTTCCTCCTTTGCACGGCTCTAAGTTCCCATGAGTCCCTGCTGCGTTCTTGAAGGATCCCTAACATCACATCAAGCTAAAGCAGGCGAACCCTCGTCAGTTCCCTGAAAGTCTGAATAAATGTTGGACTTTCTGCACAACGAACCGGTTTTTAGATAAGAATCAAAGCCTTCTCCAGGCAGCAAGCAGGAATTTTCCCCCTCAGTCCGACTCGGACCAGAAAGCGAGAACTGAAAGCGCCCTGCGTGTGTTAACATCACTTCCTGTATGAGAATCATTTCCTTGTTGTGGTAACACTTGAACAAAGCGAGCCGGTGCCGTCCACCTGCAGCCGGAGCTCACCTGTGAACTGTGTAAACGTTTTGTCACACAGCCGGTTTGAGGCAAAACAAAGCTCCGTAAATCATTCAGACAACTTCCTGCTTCGGCTTCATTAACCCTGTTGTGTAACCACTTGAAGGAAAATGCCGGGATCACATGACACTTCGGTCCATTTACACCTGATGACCGCTTGTTTTCTGCTAAACAGCATCATGTTGCCAGTTTTTTGGCTCAGCTGTGACGTGTGATTTTTATGTTTTACACGTTTTACTGACCTGCGGCTGGTTGGAGACACAAAATGGAGAGAAAATACGTAAATCTCCACTTGGAGCTGCACTTAAGTGGTACTTGTGACACGAATGTGCACAAATAAATCCAGAGAACGACTCAAGCAAAGTATCTGAGAGTCTCATTCACGATGAGGCAGGAGACGGATTGACACATCCGGGCCTCGTTACCAGTAAAGAACAAAGGAGGTCAATCTGGGTCACGCTGCCAAAAAAAACAATGGCTGTGGATGTTCCGGATCTAAATAACGTTAAAAATGAACAAACTACTTACAAACAATAGACCAAACGTTAACCTGCTGCACATCCTTTCCAGCCTGATCTCTCGGTCTCACCAGTCGATGAGTCCTTCTCGCCCTCGTTAGTGTCCAGCCTCCCAAACGACTCATCATGCGCCGTCCAGGAAAATAAATGAAAAGTAAAATGTGCAATTTAAATACAGTTAAATTAATTAAAGTAGATTACTACAGAGAAAGGGCTCTGTGACCCCCTTGCAGTGGTATGTATGTAAGAATTTGTCTATTGTTTAACAGTTTGTTGTTGTTTTGGTGTGATAAAAAGTTACATTATTACTTCCAACCACCAACACTAAACTACACGGGCACTTTACCCCCCTGCAGTAGTACGTATGTAAGTATAAAGAACAAAGGGGGTCACTTTGCCAAAAATCCATGGCTGTGGATGTTCAGGATCTACATCACGTTAAAAAAGAACAAGTGGCTAACAAACGATAGACCAAACGTTAGCCTGCTGCACATCCTTTCCAGCCTGATCCCTCGGTCTCACCAATCGATACAAGTCCTTCTTGCCCTCCTTAGTGCGCAGCCTCCAGTACAACTCATCATACACCATCCAGGAACAGAAATGAAATGTAAAATGTGCAATTTAAATAAAAGTTAAACTAATTACTACATAAGAAGGGCTCTATGACCCCCCCCTGCAGTGGTACGTATGTAAGTATTCGTCTATCGTTTAACAGTTTTGTTGTTGTTTTGTTGTAATAAAAAAGTTACATTATTACTTCAGACCACCAACATTAAACTACACGGGTGTATAAATGAATGAATTTAACTCTACATCGCTTCACTCACTGGAGTGACGTTTTTCTGACCTTTCGTTTTTAATGTGCTCCTTTGCTCCGAGTTTATTTACTTTATGAATAAATAAAAAAACAATAGGACAAAGTGTTTTATTAGGACAGTGACAGATCGCTCCATCAGCCTTTGATTATTCAAAGATAAATAGAATTAAAATCTGTAGGGACCCAAACGCTGCCCTGCGTCTGTTTCCACTTTATAAGTTTCACCTGCAAACCATTAAGGACTGAAGACGTGACACGCTGCACCACCGTCTCTGCTTTGTGTTGGAGTTGGACTTGTCGTCCTGATGCTCATCGTTGTTCTAGCTTCAGGGACTTTGAGCAACGACGACAGCACCCTGAGAAGACGATGTGTCACGCGGGACTGGTCGGCGGGAGTCGTGGTTTCACCTTTGACCTTTGCGTGTCTGCAGGGGATGTCCTGTACGAGCTGCTGCAGCACATACTGAAGCAGAGGAAGTCCAGCGCGTTCGGCCCGTCCGCCTACTTTCCTGGGAACTCCTTCCACTCCCTGCCGGAAAGCACGGTGCAGCACCTGAAGCTCGAAGGTCAGTCCCGCTGCGCTACCGTCTCACACGGGCACTTCCTGCACGTTCCGCTCGGGCTCAGACCCGCCGGTTATTTTCCTTTGGTTATTTTCAGCTTTCCATAAACAAATATTCTAATATAACAAAATCTATTCTTGCCTTTTGATTTATTCCTCCTTTAGCAACAGTAACATCATCGTGAAGATAAATTCTGTTTAAAAAGGTTTGAAATCATAAAATTGTTTGTTTGTATTTACGTCAGACTTGTGTCTTAAAGTTGGCTTAGCATCACTTTAATGAAACGTTATGTTTTTAATACAAATTATGCTGATTCATCCAAAATAAAGAAATTAACCAAAGCTAGTTGTTAAAGTTAAATCTACCATAGCTAGTAATGTCCGCTAGCCTTGGAATTTTAGCTGGTTTTAGCTGCTTTGATCCCTTTAGCTGGCATCGATGTACTGCATTTAAAATATCGAAGTACACAACTTTTTATTTTCTTTGTAAAATTTGTGGAAAATACAAAACACTGCAGTTTAAAGACAAAACTTTATTTACAATAAAGGTTGAAGCTAAAAGCAGCATAAAGCAAGTTGTTTACAGCAGCTAATAAAGAAATGCAGACCAGTTCAGCTGGTTTACTTCAACTAGTGTCTAATATATAAAATTAATATCCATCCAATCTACTTCTGCATGCGTGCTGTTTTAGCTGCCCTTTAGCTAGTATTTCACTACTTGTAGCTATCATTCATCATCATTCTGATACTTTTAGCCTTTATGTCAATTTTTTGCTGACTTTTAGTTTCTTGTAGATCTTGTTCTTTTACTTTTAGCACAGATTCTGCTGATTTTTAACTAGCATTCTGCTACTTTTAGCTTTTATCTGTCTGGCCTTTTGTTTCATTGAGCTGTTTGGCTGCCACTTTTAGCCAGACTTTTGTACACTTTTTTTTAAATTTTAGCTATCTGTCTGCTGCTTTTAGCCATGTGTCTTCTGCTTTTAGCTATTTTTTGCTGCTTTTAGCTATCATTATTTAAGCAAGCATGTTGCAACTTTTAGCCAGGTTTCTGCTACTTGTGCTAGCATCCTGCTACTTTTAGCTTTAAATCTACTTTTGTTCTGCTAGTTTTAGCTAACACTCTGCTGCTTTTAGCTCCTTAAGCTTTTGCTTCTTATATATATTAGTTAGCATTTGGCTACCTTTAGTTTTAACTTTTTGCATTTAGCTTTTTTTTCATCTTTTAGCTGATGTTTTGATCTTATTTATTTATTGTAAATTTAGCTTTTAGCTGGGTGTCCTGCTTCTTGTAGCTTTTCAGCAGACTTCGGCAGTCGTGCAGCAGCCTGCGTTCACGTTTCAGCCGACGTGTGTTTAGTGGAAACATAACTCAGCGGACTGAACGGCAGAAGTTTAGGTGAGGACGAGCGATGAAAAGCGGCGTGTGACTCTGACTCCACACCTGTGTTTGTCGTTTGGAAGGGCAGGTGCAGGAAGTCGTTTCCTGGCTCTGCTTGGAGAAAATGCGACACGGCAACAATCAGATGTGATGCGGCCTCATCGGAGCTCAGGTGTTGACAGTAGAACCTGCCCCACCAGGAAATGTTGCTTGATTTAACGTGCACGGCGGCTGATTCACCGGCTGCTGGGGCTTCAGTCTTTGATGCGACGCTCTGCTCTCGGAGCTTCAACGAGTCTCAACATGAGAAGTGGCCTCGTCGCTCCTGCTTCCTCTGAATTATTGTTTTCTTCATTGATCGGTCTGCGTGAAGGTTCAAGTGATATTTACTGAACGTGTCCATGAATGAATGAAAACATCTGGTGGTTACTCCAAGTTCCATAAAGACGAGAACGTACACTCTTCTTTAGCAGAAACATTCCCAAAGTCCTTTACTTCTCAAATATACCTCATCCATCCCATCTATCCCATTAATCTCATCCATCCATCCTATCCATCTCATCCATCTCATCCTTCCATCTCATCCATCCCATTCATCTCATCCATCCCATCCATTCATCCTATCCATCCCATCCATCTTATCTCATCCCATCCATCCATCCCATTCATCTCATCCCATCCATCCCATTCATCTCATCCATCCCATTCATCTCATCCATCCCA